GAATATGCATTCTCATTCATCCTGATTTTTTTTTAAATCTACGTCTTTTAGTCTTAAAACTACGTGTTGTGGTCTTTCTTTTATATATTTCATTATGAGGTTTTGTGAAAAATCTGTACGTGATGGAGAAAAAAATGGATATCATTTTCGGATTCAGCATACAGGAATTATTGTAGAACATGTAAAAATTTCAAGACAATAAAACTATCGCAGGCCTGTGTTAACTGAGGTTACTCCCACGAACCACTGTGGTGAATAAAGAGACTTGGAAGTTTACAATTTTGTAGTAGCTTTATTCACTAAAAGGGAAATCTTTTTTTTTAAATGTTGGATAACAAAATCCGTATCAGAACTTTCTAAGAACTGTTGCAGTTTCGAGCTGCTCATGTCTTCATCAGTTCAGTTACGTTTGTCGTAGAAGAATGCTATCTAAAGAAGCTTTAAATCTGCTAACTCAGCTATTTTGATGATTGAAAAATGTTTTTTTCCAAAAGCTAATGTGTCAGCTCAGCTCGACTGGTGAAAGAAAATCGTATCCAAAGAAGCTTTAAATGTATTAGATAGGCTATGTTAATGTTGCTTTTTTTAAAGCTTTAAGTGTATTAGATAGGCTGTGTTACTGTTGCTTTTTTTAAAGCTTTAAATGTTTTAGCTCAGAGAAAGTTTGTATATAGAAAATACTGTCCAAGGAAGCTGTAAATGTGTTAGTTCAGCTGTATTGGTGATAGAAATGTTATCCAAAGAAGTTGTAAATGTGTTCGTTCAGCTGTATTGGTGATAAAAATGTTACCCAAAGAAGTTGTAAATGTGTTAGTTCAGCTGTATTGGTGATATAAATGTTATCCAAGGAAGCTATAAATGTGTTAGTTCAGCTGTATTGGTGATAGAAATGTTATCCAAAAGAAGTTGTAAATGTGTTAGTGCAGCTGTATTGGTGATAAAAATGTTACCCAAAGAAGCTGTAAATGTATTAGTTCAGTTGTATTGTTGATATAAATGTTATCCAAGGAAGCTATAAATGTGTTAGTTCAGCTGTAGTGGTGATAGAAGTGTTATCCAAAAAAGTTGTAAATGTGTTAGTTCAGCTGTATTGGTGATAGAAATGTTACCCAAAGAAGCTATAAATGTGTTAGTTCAGCTGTATTGTCGATAGAAATGTTACCTAAAGAAGCTGTACATGTGTTAGTTCAGCTGTATTGGTGATAGAAATATTATCCCAAGTAGTTGTAAATGTGTTCGTTCAGCTGTATTGTCGATAGAAGTGTTATCCCAAAAAGTTGTAAATGTGTTAGTTCAGCTGTATTGATGATAGAAATGTTATCCAAGGAAGCTATAAATGTGTTAGTTCAGCTGTATTGGTGATAGAAATGTTATCCAAGGAAGCTTGTAAATGTGTTAGTTCAGCTGTATTGGTGATAGAAATGTTACCCAAAGAAGCTATAAATGTGTTAGTTCAGCTGTATTGTCGATAGAAATGTTACCCAAAGAAGCTATAAATGTGTTAATTCAGCTGTATTGGTGATAGAAATGTTACCTAAAGAAGCTGTAAATGTGTTAGTTCAGCTGTATTGGTGATAGAAATATTATCCCAAGTAGTTGTAAATGTGTTCGTTCAGCTGTATTGTCGATAGAAATGTTACCCAAAGAAGCTTTAAATGTGTTAGTTCAGCTGTATTGGTGATAGAAATGTTACCCAAAGAAGCTGTAAATGTGTTAGTTCAGTTGTATTGTCGATAGAAATGTTATCCAAAGAAACTATAAATGTGTTAGTTCAGCTGTATTGGTGATAAAAATGTTATCCCAAGAAGTTGTAAATGTGTTAGTTCAGCTGTATTGCCGATAGAAATGTTACCCAAAGAAGCTGTAAATGTGTTAGTTCAGCTGTATTGCCGATAGAAATGTTACCCAAAGAAGGTGTAAATGTGTTAGTTCAGCTGTATTGGTGATAAAAATGTTACCCAAAGAAGCTGTAAATGTGTTAGTTCAGCAGTATTGGTGATAAAAATGTTATCCAAGGAAGCTGTAAATGTGTTAGTTCAGCTGTATTGTCGATAGAAATGTTATCCAAGAAAGCAAAAAATGTGTTAGTTCAGCAGTATTGGTGGCATAAAATATTAACCAAAGAAGCGCTCGCTTCATTTATGGAAGTGTTATAAAAGTGACAATCAGTGCTGTCTGACAAAGCCCCTGTGTCGGCGGGTGAAACAAACTGGCTGCCTTCCTTTCTGGTCATTAGTTCAAACTTCATGACGGTTAAGGTTTCTGACCTGGTCATTTAATCTATGTGTGCATGAAATCCCGGTTCATGTTTTGATCTTCTTTTTTTCACCATAACGATTAATGTGTGATGCATTTGAAAACTTACATTATTTTACATTTCAATAGAAATCGAATAAAAATCGAAATTTAAAAAAAATAGTGTATATTATTATAAAAAGAACTTACTTTAAAAAAATCGCAACAAATATAAAAAGTGCTCCTTCTACCAACACGTAATTGTGTACGAGATTTCAGATCAGCACATAAAAATATGCAAAAAAAGTGTATGTTGTTGGCTTTTGAAAAGCATACAGCTGTCCTGGTTTTCATATAATATATTTATTCTGTATGATAGCCTTGGGTAACTGACTAAGAAATATAAAATACACGTAAACATATTCTCTTTAATCGTATTTTGTCTCAAAACTTTAAACAGTTTTCATGTTGTATATTTGAGCCTCATCATAGCCTGAAGTA